CATAATTCTTTGCATCCACCCATCTCATCCTCCAGAGTACCTTGAGCAAAGTTCAATTATACCATTCTCTTCTGTGCACACAGATGTCAGGTTCTCCCTAAAGATCTACTTATTCAAACCTCTAAAAGCTTGCAACCAATGATTGTGAAAGTCTTTAAAACAAATTCTAAATACTGTCCTTTAATTTACTTTTTTTAAAAAAAGGGCTGCAGGTCAAACTCATAGTAGAACACTTTCTAGGCATGCAAAGGTCCTGGTTAGACACACAACACTGACAATAGGAATAATGATGGTGTTAATTTTTAAAAGCCACAACCATTTAACTCTATTGCAGAGGGATGGGGGCGGGGTCTTTCTTTGCTTTGCCTTTTTTGTCTGTTGGGATGGGGTAAGTTTGTAAGACAGGTTTTCACTATATACCCCATGTTAAACTTGAATTTGCAAGCTTCCTGCCTCAACCTTCTGAGTGCTGGGATTACAGGAGTCAGCTACCATATCTGGCAAAAAAGGAAGTTTTAAAAACTAGTTTAACTCAGACTCTAAACCTTCAACTTGAAACTCAGAAAATTCCTCAAAGTTCTGGCTAATGTCATGCCATGTGTGCCGTACATATGCTGTTTGGAAGTTAAATAAGACACCATATTCAAGTCTTACTATTGTGTCTTGTGTGTAGTATGTACTTAGCAAATGTACTTGATGTCTGGTAAACTGAAATGATTAGTGATTGACAGCAGCTTACCTATAAAAAGACTTCTCAAAGCACACAGCTCCATCATGGGGGAAGGGTAACATCACAAATAATTTTGAACAAGTTTAATTGGTGAAATTATTATTTTAAATAACTCTCTATGCTATGTGTACCTGAGAAAACTTTGAACAGTATTGCTAATAAATATTTGCCAGGAAGTAGTCTTTGGAATTATATATATTAAAGAATTTAACGTAAGGATGACCTATTTTTAAAAAATGATAAGGATACAGAGATGTTTAAATAAGAAATCTTTAGACCATAGCAAGAAAGTAGTAAAATGAGAACCTGAATCTCGGCCATTGATTCTTTACCACCATAGTACTGCTTATAACTGTAATATGTCATTTTGATTAAGATGACATTTGATGCCATTTATATAAAAGTTGGGCATCTAGGCGGGTGGTGGTAGCACATGCCTTTAATCCCAGCACTCAGGAGGTAGAGACCAGCCTGGTCTACAGAGTGAGTTGCAGGACAGGTGCCAAAGCTACACAGAGAAACCCTGTCTCAAAAAACCAAAAGGAAAAAAAAAGGCTTAAAATTAACATATAAAACATGGTGTCAAATGAGACTCAGGAGACTAAAGAGGATTGCTTTAAGTCTGAGGCTACACATAGGGAGACTATTAACAAATAAATGAAAATAAATAAGTAAAATAAAAACAACAACCAAACAACAAAAAAAGTGCAACAAGCTACTCTAGTACTATGGATACAATCTGTAGTTGGCTTTCTATAACTGCAGGTTCTATATTCTTAATCAACTGAGAACTGAAAAGATTTGGAGAAAGCACTGTATCACTGTATCAGGGCTGATCAAGTTTAGACCTTTTCTTGTCATTATCCCCTAATATAATATAGCATTACATTGTGTTAGGTTTTATACGCAACCTAGATATGATTTAAGGAACACAGGAGGGACTAGAGGTGTAGCTCAGGGGTAAGGCACTTGCCAAGTGCACACAAGGCCCTGAGTTCAGTCCCTGGGACTGCAAAGAAGAAAATACAGGAAGATATGTGTAATCGAGGCTATACAAACAGAACTCCCTTATCCAAAACTTCATTTTATGCAGTTTCAGCTATATGCTATCAGTGAGAGTGAATACGACATAAAACCATCTTTTGAATGAGAAATCACAAGAAACTCGACCTAACTTTTATTACAGTATATTGCTATAATAGTTCTGTTTTATATCAGTAATTTTTTTTATCTCTTACTGTGTTGAATTTATAAAGTTGATCATAGGCTTGTAGTTATAGGAGAAAACAGTAAATAGGGCTCATCCACCAGGGGGTTTCTTGTAATACATGTCCCACAGACACGAAGAAGCTACTTTTGTCAGTTTACACTAAGGATTCAGGCATCCTCTAATCATAATGTTTAATGCAGTCTTGATAAACTGTCCAGAATGGCCTCAAATGAACATTTTCCAGTATTGCCCTCTGAAATAGTTGGGACTATAGGTAAGCATCCTCAAATTTTAGAATCCACAGAGACTCTTGAAATAGACTTTCTGAAGACAGCAAGGAACTACATAGTCTATGTAACACTCTATTTTGAATACACTGTGTCCTTTGAGACTACTACCCTAGGAAACTCAGGGAGGCTGAGAATATAAGCTCTGAAAACTCCTGGAGATCCCTGTTACTTTATAACTAAGAAACGGAGGCCCACAGTTTATGGTACGCTGGAGTAGCATTCAGGCTGGTGCTCCTACTCCACACTCTTGCTCCAGACATTAGAAGCCTGGTACAGAACAGATGAGGGCTGAGGGTGCAGTCCGTTTTCTGTTGATGGAGTGATTCCTGCCTAATGTACCAAGCTCTGGGTTTGAGTCCCAGCTCTACATATATCAGGTAGTGCACATCTGTATGCCCAGTACACAGGAAGTAGAGGTAGGAGGATCAAAAGTTCAAGGTTACCCTAAGCTATACAGCAGAAAAGAATGGATGAAACTGTTTTGCTGGTTCAAAGAGTAAACCGGGTTTTTTAAATTTTGAAATTAAGGTTGATAGTGAAAAATGAAGTTAGTTAAACATCCAAATCTAATTATGATTTTCAGGTTTTAAGTTTACGAAGTGATATTTGGCTATAAAGTTTATAGGCAACAGACAAAGCACAGCTTCTGGGAATGAACGAACACACACACACACACTTTAAGCTATTTAGAAACTTGGTTTCACTTTTTAAAAGTCAAACTGCTTTAATACTCAGCTTACATATTACTCTATCGAAAATGAAATAATCTCATATAGAAGACTTTAAAATAAGTTCCTTTGGAAGCCCATTTTGGGGCATTGAGTTGTGACTAAATTCTCAAGGACGCCAGTAATACAAGAGCTCCATCCATAACTCCTTGAAAAAACTGAAACCATGGACGCCTTGTCAAATTCAGACAGTTTATCTTGGCACTGGCAAGTACAGCAGTCTCTTCGATGTCTGGAAACGTGTCTAATTACGTCGAACGAGTAACTAAAAAATAGCCCGTGTCCCGGAACAGACAGCTCAGGGTTCACTCCATAGCATCCTGAATGGCAGGATAGAACCACGCCAGGGGGGAGAAGGGGAGAAGAAGAAAGGAAAAGAAAAGAAAAGTAAGCGTGAAAACGGGAAGAGATGCCAGCCTCTTTTTAAAACAGCCCTCCCGTTTTCCTAGGGCCGCCAGGGCCACCACACCGCTCCTGAAAGTTTTTCTTTTTCTTTATTTTTGTTCCATTAAGTCATCCGGTACCGCCCACATCACTTACCTGGCGCAGGGCAGGCTGGTGCTGCCCCAAGTGAGCTCAAGCTCAGCCTGCCTCTAACGCCCCTATCCGGACACCACTCAGGGACAACCCCAGACCCCTAAAACTGCAGCCCGAGACCTCGTCACACCCTAGAGTCCCAAGGCCGTACCACGGAGGCGTCCTCTCTCGGGGAGGCGTGACCACCCCGCGCCGCGGACCCCCTGTCACCCCGGCGCACTCCTCCTTCGCGGGCGCTGCTTACTCGGTGCACCCCGAATCCCGAGGCACCTCAGCAGCGCCCCCTCCAGGGAAACCCCGGCATGGCAGCCGCGACGCGCTCACCTGAGCCTAAGGTTGGCCATGAACTCGGGCATGGAGACGGTGTCCATCAGCACGAAGTCCGCCTTGCCGAATTCCAGGCTCTCTTGCTCCGCCATGGTGCTCGCTCAGGTGGGCGCGCGGCCTCAGGTGGGCGCGCTCGGGCCGGGGCTGGGGCGTACAGCACGCTCGGGAGGGGTCGGGCCGGAGAGAGGCGGCGGGCGCTCGTCAGTGCTCGGGACGGCTCGGCTCTGGACGGGCGAGGCCGGCGGCTTCCGCTCCTCCCGCGGTGACTGCGGGGTGTGTGGGGGCCGTGGTGGCGAGACGGAGACGGCGGCGGCTGGTCCCGCCTCTAGCCTGGGTCCGGCTGGGCCCCGCCCCGCCTTGGCCGCTCAGGCTCCGCCCCACCCCGTGGAGGATCCCGCCCAGCCACGGCCCAGCCGCCTCCTCACCTGGGCGTCGCGCACGCGCGGGGCGGGGACGCGCTCCGGGCCAGCCGCGGCGGCTGAGCCTCAGCGCCCCCTAGAGACAGGCACGAGCATCTCGCGTGGAAGGGTACTGTGTGCGGACTCTGCGTGAAATAGGCCTTGCTGTCTTCTTCAACCCCTGCCTAGTAGATACCAACAAAGTTACAAAAGCAACTTGAGCAGCTTTGGAGCGAATAATCCATTATGATTCTGGCACACTCTCCTGGGCTCATGTGCTACCCACCCTTGAAGTGGTGACTGAATAGAGATGGCAACAGTACCGATCACTTCCAGGTCACCAAAATGCTCAGAGTTGATCTAAGTGCTTTAGCAAGCTTAAGTAACTTGCCACACTGCTAGGAAGTGGAAATGCTGCGGCTTCATTGGAGGTCATTTGATTTATGAACTCCAGCATTCAGCCACGTGATTTACTTACTGTTCCTCTGTTCGCAGTGGTCCTTTTTTAAAATTCCATTCATCAGAGCATGCCATCAGACTTTACCTTGTTCTAGCAAGTTTTTAATATATGTTTGAATCGTCTCCTCAAGATGATTGCAGACTTTTAGCACAGAAGACTGTGTCCTAAACTTCTTGATATCTCCCCCCTTCTTCCCCCCCCCCACACCTTCCAAGTAGCTATATTGTATGGGGTTGTATTATAATATAAGCATGAAATTAGTTTCACGGTTGTTATGAGTTGTATTTGTGATCGCCAACTTAAAGACACCCTGGGTGATCTTCAAATGCTTTTTTTTTTCAAACATAGACTATATTTTCCTGATGGAAATACATTATAAGGGACATTGCCAGCACCTGCACCTCTACAGGCCTGTGTCCCTTTTAGGGCCATCTTCAGGACAGAATCTATTAGGAAATCTAGAGGCTTCCAGGACCTGGCTGGGCTTCAGCTCTGTGGCTGAATTTGAGCTGAGTAAATAAGACTGAAGGACCTTGGCATGCTTCAGCTGCCAACAACCCACACTTGCCAAGAGAGGGGACGGCGCCTTGATCATTTTCGTGGAGCGCCTCTGCTGTCAGAAAGCCACCCTGATCCCTGGCACAGCAGAGCTAGCGGGGCTGCAGTGTGGCTACTGTGTGTAGCTTGCTTTCTTCACAAGATGTTTGGATCTCATCGTGCTTGTTTGTAGAGGAAGAACGCTGGGATAATACTTCCGAGGTAGGGCTGTCCTGTGCTTGGGCCATGTGTAAGAGTGGACGAGTGGCTGAGGAGACACTTCGACAGTGTCTGAGATTAGAGCGATTCTGCATCCCGACGCTGTTCATATCAGGGTACTTCGATGTAAGCAGGACTGGATTTGTAAGTGGAAAGAGACAGATCGGTGCCCTTGGAAACAGGCCCCAAGTCATAGCAGTAAGTGGATATGTGTGTATGCCCCGTGCATGTGTGTGTTCCCTGAGTCCTGCAGTTATTGAAGATCAGGGTAAAATTCTAGGCACTAGAAAAAGAGACACGAAAACCAGGAGAATACAAGAATATGCAGGGATTGGGAGCTATACCAGGGTGCTATGCGGTTTTCAAATGGCTAATTTGGAGAACTTTATTATAGTCATTGTCTTGAACATGAGCCTCAGGTCTAAAATGTATGTACAATCTGTGCAAAGATATTCTGTAATTTCTTGTTTAAGTCCAGGTTAGTATAACGTCAGACATTGAGACCAATGAGTTTCTTTTAGTGAACTCAGAGCTATCAAGTAAGGCCCACTGTTTAACCAACTTAAATCAGCTTCTAGATTCTGACCTAACTTTTTTAGGTGGTTGAGTTATTCAAATATAAAGAGAATTCTGATTTACATATTCAGTGGTAATTTGTTACTTGTATAGTTATTGTTGTGTTTTGTTTTGGTTTTTTTTAGGTTTCTTTAGACAGAGTTTCTCTGTAGTTTTTGGAGCCTATCCTGGAACTCCCTCTGTAGACCAGGCTGGCCTCAAAGTCACAGAGATCCACCTGTCTCTGCCTCATGGGTGCTGAAATTAAAGGTGTGCACCAACACCACCCGGTCTTTGTACAGCTTTATATCCAGCCTTCTAGTGGCCAGCTGCATCCTTATTAATCATTGATCACACAAGGCAGAAACAACAAGGAAGACTAAGTGTCAAGGACTGTATTCACGTATGCTAAACCAGAGCAGTTTAGCTCGTTATGAATCTCCTTCGTGATAAAATGAGAATAGAGACACATTTGGATATGTACCTTTTGTTATATGTTTTTTGTTGTTGTTTTTGGGTTTTGTTTATGTTTTTTTTTTTTTGAGACAGGGTTTCTCTGTGTAATAGTCCTGGCTAACCTGGAACTCACTGTGTAGACCAGGTTGGCTTTGAACTCACAGAGATCCGCCTGCCTCTGCCTCCGGAGTGCTGGGACTGAAGGCGTGTGCCACCACCGCCCGGCTTGCTATGTTTTAAGATGTACTAAAAAATAAAATAAGAATTTAAATCACCTGCAGTGACATGTGATGACATCATTAGCTTTCTGATTGGATCACCTGAAAAAGGCGTGGTATCACTTACCTGCTAGAAATCCATAAGCTGAGTGTGGTTGGGAAGAAACATGAAGCAAACCCAGAGCAAGGAGCATCCTGCGAAACAACTGATCAGCACCCATGGAAAATACCAATGGTGTGGAAGACAAAGATGCCAAGACACTGGCCGAGATTAGTTTGTAGGGTTTGTTTGTTTGTTTGTTTGTTTGTTTGTTTTTACTTGTTGGCTCGTTGAGAGCCCACCACCCAGCTCCCAAATCAATAAATACATGGAGACTTATTTTTACTTATGAACACCTGGCATTAGCTTGGCTTGTTCCTAGCTAGCTTTATTTTAAATTATCCCATCTACCTTTTGCCTCTAGAATTTTACCTTTCTCTATTTTTGTATATCTTTTTTTCCTTTCTTATTCCGTGTCTGGGTGGGTGACTGGGTGACTGGGCCCTGGCATCCTCCTCTCCTCCTTTTCTCATTCCTCCTTTCTGCTTCTTCTCTTTTCTCTTTATACTTTCTGCCTGGCAGCCCCGCCTATCCCTCTCCTGCCTAACCATTGGCCATTCAGTTCTTTATTAGACCAATCAGGTCTTTTAGACAGGCAAAGTGACACAGCTTCACAGAGTTTAACAAATGCAACATAAAACAATGCAACACATTTTTGCATCATTAAACAAGTATTCCAAAGCATAAGTGAATATAACACATCTTCAATTAATATTCCACGACAACAGCTGATTAAAGAGACATCACAGCTGAAGACAATGTGTGATCCTCAAACCAGGAGAAGGTGAGAGAGCTGTTGGAAAAATGGATGCAATTGACGATATGTTAGAAGGTGTCAATGTTAATTAATGTTCCTAAATTCAATTACTGTGCTGAGGCTTCATAAGAGAGCATCTTGTTCTAAGCAGACATCTGTTAAAGTCTTTACTAATAAAAGGTATGGTATCTCAAACTGCTTGGTACAAAGGACTTTCAGAACACCCGCTTTTGTTCAGTGTAAACACACAGTGTGCAGGCCTGGTCAGGCGCTCTGTAATAACTAGCCCCAACTCAAGGGCTACTGGGTTATCAATGAAAATCAAGTCTGGGTGATCTGCTTTTGATGTTTGCTCTCTTTCAGTTTCCCTAGCACTTACCCTACTTTTATCTCCTTCTGCCAGGGCTCTGCATTCCAACAAGACAAGGGTTTTTTTTTTTTTTTTAATCATGAGTCTAACAAAACAGAATCAATAAAAAAAAACAGTCATGAAGAATACTTAAAGGACATTTTATACTTACCTTATAAGCTGCCTGCCAATCCCAATGTAGAACCCCCTGTTCCCTCTCCAGCATCATGTGTGCCTATATGTCACCATGCTTCCCACCATGATGATAATGGACTAAGCCTCTGAACTGTAAGCCAGCTCCAATTAAATCTTTTCCTTTTTAAGAGTTGTCATGGTCATGGTGTTTCTTCACAGCAATAGAGTTCCTAACTAAGACATCATGCTTTACTAAAAACTTTGTGGACTTTGTTTCCTGAGGTGACTGCATAAAACACATACATGAAATGGTTTTCTGTGCAGACTGCCTCCTCTCTTCTGCTCCTAGAGGTGATCTCTTTGTGGACTCCGAATTGGGAAGCCTTGCGCTAAGGGGAAGCTCTCACTACAAGTCCTCACCACCTGAGAAGGAAGAAGAGTGTAGGGAAATTACCATCAGGGTCCTGTGAGTCACCAAAAAAGGGACTGTCCCGACAATTTGCCTGCACAGATTTCAGGCCACAGGCAAGACTGAGTCACATAGAGGATGTGGACATAGCCTAGAATTGCCTCTAGGACTGTTTCTGCTTGTGATATATCTGAAGATAAACATCCAGAATCTCAAGGGATATATCCTCCCCGACCCTGAACTCTACCCCCCTCCCCCTGGTTCCAGGAACCAGATGTTGGGCCTTGCATATGCGAGGAGAGTACTCTACCACTGAGCTGCATTCTCCAGCCCACACCTTTCTTAGCTGCCAAGAGATTTATTGCACTGGGTTGGAGTTGACTATTTAAGCATGTCCCCTAAGCTGGCTAGAAAGGGCACATGATCCTCAAACCTTGTCTGGTGCTCAGTAGGCACATGGATCATCAAGTTAATTAACTAACAAACAGATTTGTATGAAAGCATTCTATCACAAGGCCTTTTCTCTAAGCATCCAGCCAGGCGGTTACTAAGTCTCTAGCTCTTCTGACCTTTGGAACTATTCCTAGAACCAGTAGATTTGATGATATGAGAGGGAGAATAACTTTCCAATCCACTCATGAGTTGACAATGCCTTTTGGTAAGATGTCTCCAGCTTCAAAGCATGTGAGAGTCATTTAGGGACCTGGTCAAAATGCAGACTGTGATTGGGAAATCTAGAACCAATTGATTTTTTTTTTTATTTTCTTACTTGGCTTCAGCAGGACCTCACTGTATTGTCCTGTTTGGCCTGGGACATGTGGCAACCCTTTTGCCTCCGCCTCCTGAGTGCTGAGGTTACGTGCATGAACTACATGGATGGCTTCTTTTACAAACCAACATAGACATCTCATTAAGAGATTGCTGTTAATGATAAAAAAAAAATCTGAGAGGAGAAGCAAAGACCATCAAGGAAGAGCAGCAGACTAGATCTTCTCTTGGCGACCTGTTTCTATCCTACTCTGGAATGGGAAGCTGTTGCCTTCCTTCTCTTCCTTCTTCAGAGGGCAGTTTACACGGGAGATTTTTTTTTTTAAGGAAGGAAGAAAACCATTCCAACTCCTTTCTTCCCTCTGACAAAACAGCAAGCAGTTCTAATTTAGCCACTTGTATATTTTTGTGATGTCCATGACTCCTGACTCCCAACTCCCTCTCTGAGGCTTAGAAAATAGAATTCCTCTTCCTCGAGGTGAGTCAGAGAAACACCAGTCTTCCACTTGTCTGTCTTGGAGCAAAGAATACCTTTTGTTACTTCCTATCCAATAGTATACGCTAAGACAGGGACCCTACCTGATAGTATGCACTAAGACACAGACCCTCTTCGAAGGTGCAGGAAGCCTGTGGACACACCGGGCCTTGCTGGGTTTCTCCTCCAGCCTACTAACATTAGTCGTGTTCTTTCTGTGCAGTTACGTTTCTACAAGATTGTCTCCATGCTTCAATCCTATCTGTGCAACAAAGCTCTCTATGTAAACCCAAACAGGCTTAAGGGATCTTCTGGTTAGCTGAACACATGGCAGTTGTTGGATTTTCTTTTACTCTAGCCCCACGTTGGAATGCCAAAATGTTGTTGGTTGTTTTTTAGGTTTTTTCTTTTTCTTTTTGCTCTTTTGTTCTTTGGTTTTGGGGGGAGGGTGTCCACAACCCAGATCCCCCCAAAAAAATCACACAAGGCGTCTTTTTCTTACTTATGAACGCCCAGTCTTGGTTGGTTTTTCTAGCCAGCTTTTCTTAGCTTAAATTAACCCTTCTACCTTTTGCCCCTGGACATTTTCCTTTTCTTATTTCTGTAATTTTTTTACTCTTACTCCGTGGGTGGCTATTTGGCTGGGTAGCTGGCCTCTTCTTTTCTTGCTTCTTGATCTCTCTTGCATCTTTGTCTTCCTATTTATTCTCTCAGCCAGTCCCACCTATCCTTTCTCCTGCCTCACTATTGGCCATTCAGCTTTTTATTAGACCAACGGGTGTTTTAGACAGGCAAAGTAACACAGCTTCACAGAGTTAAACAAATGCAGCATAAAAGGATGGAACACATCCTTGCATCACAATAACAAGTGTTTCAGAGCATAAACAAATGTAACACATTTTAAAATAATATTCTACATCACATGGCAAGTCCCGGAGGGTGGCACACAAATGGATTTATGCTCCTCCCTCATGCTTAGCCCTTCAGTCTCTGCATCTATACCCTTTTGTAACTCCCTTTACCCCCCTCTCTGCATGTGTGTTATGTATATATCTGGCAAATGTGTTTCCATGAGTTCTAGGAGATAATCTAGCAAATGAAACCCAAGAAAAGCACCAAGGTGACTTTGGTTGATAGCATTCATTTGGAAACATTGGTAAAGAAGCTTGGGGCTTCTGAATGGCATCTCAGTGGAGGCGATCATGTGGATAAGTCTCTCTTACACCCTGACAGGTAAGAGAGTGTTAGTATTGAACCCATCAGGTATCCATTGCTGCAGAACTGCTTGTGGTAGTGGAGAGGCAGCCCCTGCTGTCAGAAATAATTTGTGATGTGACTGTAGAATAAGAGAAACTGAGTCTGGATTCTTTTATTCTTATCAGAATAGCTTCAAAATCGATGTTTTGGGACAACTGTACCATGACATCTAATCTCCCCGAGATTCCTTTCTTCCTGACTACATCTATAATCCCTGTTTTTCAACTAGTGAGCTAAAGTGGTACCCATCACCTAGAGTTTAGATCATGAAATGAGGCCGGGGAGATGGCTGAGCTGGTAAAGCCCTTGCAGTGCAAAGAGGACCTGAGCTCTACCTCCTCCACCCATGTGAAAACACAGTGGAGTAATAGACACACTATAGTCTGTAAGAGAGATTGCTTGTTCATTTCCCAGCCACCCAGACCTGAATAATCATACAAAAACTATATCAATTACAACACTGTTAGGCCAATACCTTAGGCTTATATTTAACTAACTCTTACATCTTAAATTAATCCATTTCTATTAACCTGTGTATTGCCACAAGGATGTAGCCTACCAGTAAGGTTCTGGCTGGCGGCTGGCATCTTTCTCCTTCGGCAACTACATGGCACCTCCTTGACTTCGCCTACTTTCTCTCTATATCTCTGTTCAGATTTCCCACCTGCTTTTACTCTACTAAGCCATTGGCTGAAACAGATTCTTTAATAACCAATGTTAATAAAACATATACATAACATCCAGAGGGGAAGTCCACATCAATAGTCCCTGCTCAGGAGAGGTGTGGACAGACAGAAGGACTCCTGTGGCTTGTTGACCAGCTGCTCTAGCTGAGTTGGTGGCTTTAGGTTCAGCAAGAGATTCTTCTTCTTCAAAAACAAAAATATGGCAGTGAATGATTGAGGTCACCTGGTGTCAAAATCTGTCCATAACACAGACACGCACACAGGTGTATGTACACCTGCATAAATACATGCAACCGCACACATATGTGTACACACACAAGATCATGAAATGAGATGGCTTTCAACTGAAGTGTGACTCTCGGGCTTTTTCCGGTTCCACGCTTCACACTCTCTGGAGGTAGACACAATACAAGCCATAGTTGTATCTAAATTCTGACAACTGAACCCGAAAGAGCAGAGACAAGGGAAAAGTTTCAATTATTTAAAAGCTGGATCAGCAAAACCTAGGAAACCTCAGAGGTCATGTAACCCAATATCCCCTCTAGCACCTGAATCCCTTGTCTAATCCACCATTCTCTCCAGGCCTCTCTGTGCCGCTCAGGCTTCCCCCATGCCCAGCAGATGTCTTCACACGGGCACACCCTCACGGCATCATTACTCTGCATGCCCACCCCTGCCCATATGCAAACCAGGCTCTCAACTGTCCTAGCCTCTCATCTTGTTACTCATTGACCCCTGTTTATGAGCTTGGTTTGTCCTTTAGATCTGATATGCCATCGAGATAAGACCAGATGGCAGTGAGGAATAACCAGGTTGGGGAGTCAAGGTCAGGGCCAGAGAAACTTGCTTTTCTCAAGTAGACCTCCCTTTTGGTCCTTTTATCCAAAGGATTCTGGCTCTGTCTTCACTGATTTCTTTTTCTTTGTTATACCATTCTTGAGACAGGATTTAAAGAAGCCCAGGCTGGCCTTGAACTTGCACTATGGCTAAATATGATTTTTGAACTCTTGATCTTTCCACATGCTGGGTTTGCAGGTTCGGCATCATTCCTCTTTTTTCCACCCTGAGTCACTTTTTCAGTGTCTCAGTCTGACCTCGCTTGTCTCTTAATAATGTCACAGACACTTTCTCCTAAGGTTCCCTCCCTCCCTCATTCTCTAGTATGGAGTACTTCTAGTCTATCTAGTAGCCCTAGTCCCCTGTATTGCTCGGAATTTGGCAGACTGGCACTCTTCTCATTCTCGTGAAGGTGGTATTTACGCATTAGGCACCTGTACCACCGGTGTAGGGTAGGACATAAAGCCTGAACTTTAATAGCACCCCAGGAGATTCTGCCGCACATGACCAGAGGCATGCTGTGGAGGAGTGTTTATTTGGGAGTAAGTACAAATTTGAACTTTGCCACCTGCTAGTTATACTGCCTGAGGCTTATTAGCTCATTTTTATAAGCCCCAGTGCCTTCATTTTGAATAAACAGATGATAAAAATCCATCTCAGTGTGTTAGAACCACAAAACAAAGGGACAGCTATAAGATGCTTCATTTAATTCCAGGCAGGTGGCAAATGCTGGTTAAACACAAGCTAGCATTGCTTTAAGTGTGTTTCTTCCTTTCTCTCCAGAACATGGATGCTCTTCGATGACAATAACTTATTGCATGTCCTTTAAAACTAAAAAGAAAAATGTCTCATTTTATGTGTATGAGCTTTTGCATCCTTTTATGTACGTATGAACACTGTATGAGTGTTTGGTACCTACAGAGGCCAGAATAGGACATGGGGGGGGGTGTCCAGCTAGTGCTCTTAACTGCAGAACCATCCTCTCCCTGCGTGTCTTCTTGAGCAGGTTGAGCTCTCTGCTGCCTGTGAGTCTTAGTTTTCCCTATGTGACTCCTGGTTCTTAGGAATACTTTATTGTCATGCCCATGATGAACTTTGAAATCAGCAGGTAATAAAAACCTACTAAATATTTTTTATGGCTGAAGGCCATCTGGCTCGGTCCTTTATGTTACCCATCTCCCACCCCTGCAACATCAAATCTGTCTTTCTTCCCTTCCCACATGTTCTCCAGTATCCTTTTGCCATACAATAACACTCAATCAACTTCCTACCTTCCCAGCCCTTCTAGTTTCCCCATTCAATGTGAAGATTGCCATCCCACAGAGCAGTAGAGCCTCAGATTCTAATATAGCATGTGCTCATAGCTTGAGGAGACGGCTCTTTCGGTGAGGTGCTTGTTATACAAGCAGGAGGACCTGAGTTCGAATCCCCAGCAGCTGGGGATCCAGCTGGGCACAATAGTGTGGGGACAGAGACTCTCAGATCCCAGACACTTACTGGCAAGCCAGTTCAGTTGAGACAGCAGACTCCAGGTTTAGTGAAAGACTCTGTCTAAAAAATAATAAGGTGAGGAGCCATGGAGGAAAATCCCCAGCTTCGATCTCTGGCCTCCATATAAACACACACAGGCAAACACATACTCATACACACACACACACACACACACACACACACACAAATACATGCTGCGTAGCATTTTTTTAAAGAGATAATGAGAAAGAGGCTGATGACATGAGAATAAGGATTGGATATAAGGTGGGAGCCGTAGCTTTGTCAACCAGTCAATAGAGACTCATTTTTGCCTTGCATAAGTGTTCAGGTTTTGCTGTTATTGTTAATTTAGATGTTCTTTGGGATTTCTATTTGTTTTACTTCAGGACTCTTCAAAGAGTGGCCAAGCAGTAGTTAAGAAGAACTGATCCTGAACTGTGGATAAGTTTCTTCTGACATTCTCATCAATGAATAAGTATATGTATCAACTATTTAGAGCACACATGGTTGTTGATTCTCTCTTAAGTAGCAGTCTTGCTGGGCATTGGTGGTGCACGCCTTTAATCCCAGCGTTTGGGAGGCAGATCTCTGTGAGTTCGAGGCCAGCCTGGTCTACAAGAGCTAGTTCCAGGACAGGCTCCAAAGCTACAGAGAAACCCTGTCTCAAAAAAAAGGGGGGGGGGGGTTGTTCTCATGTATCTCAGACTGGCCGTGAACTTTCTAGGTAGCTGAGGAACTCCCTGTGCTGGAACAACACTGCTGAGACTCTGGAACCCCGGGCTCTGTACATGGTAAGCAAGCATGTACCAGCTGAACTACATCCCCAGCCCTGCAGCTGTCTCTTGGCAATTGTGGGGAGAGAAGGATTTATATAGATACTAACTCTGTGGGTGCTCAAACCCCTTATAGAATATGACTTTCTGCTTGCTTATAATCGAACACACCCTCCTATCTGCTTAACATTTTGAAACAAAGTTTTTTATTAATTGTAAGTGTACATGTGTGGGTTTGATGGTATGAATGTTCACATGTGTGCAGGAGTCCTTAGAGGTCAAAAGGGACATTGGATTCCCTGGAATTGGAGCTATGGGTAGTTATGAGCTTCCATGTGGGTGCTGAGAACTGAGTCCCGGTCCTTTGAAAGCATAACAAGTCCTGTTAATTCTGGGCCACCTCTCCACGTTAACATCTCAAGGTTGTTTATTGGACCTCATACCGCACAAGTGATACAGAATCAGTTGCTACACTACGTTATCTAGAGACTAATAATAGGATACCTGTGTTTTCAGCATAGATACAATCATTTCTCCAAATACTTTCAATGTGTGATTGGCTAAATCCATGCATTTAGAACCCACAGAAAACGAGGATCTACGGGTGTGGGCTGTGGCATTCAGAGTTTAAAGGCAGTAGAGCATAGAGCTAGAAGCAAAAACTGTGGGGCTAGCTCTGTCACATAAATGCTCTGTGTGACCCTGGGCAAGTCACTTCAGCCCTGAAAGCCTCATTCCTCCTCTGTAAAGTGAGAATAGTTCTGATTCCTCACTTCTAGTGGTTGCTATGACAATTAAAGCAGATAAAATATAAGGCACTTAACACATATCCTGGGACACAGTTTAGGGTCTATAAACCCCAAGAACAGTGCTGTCAGTCCTGTGATTATTGCCAGGCACTCCCTCATGGCTTTGATGGGGACCAGTGGCTGGGGAAAAGAACATTCTAGTTTCCTTGATCTTTTCATTAGACACCTCCTTTCTTTAAAATTCTCTTAATCAGTTGGTTTGTGACACTAGTCACTTCCTTGTAGCTGGGGTGTTACACTAATTGCAGGGAATTCACTGCCTCTCCATCTATAGTTTCTCAACGTTTCAGTCTTAAAGGTACAGTGACTTCCTGCTTTTCTAGTCAGGTTTTGTCACCTGAGCTGCCAGTGCTGTTGCATAACCAGGCACCCTTGCCTCTCATGATGTATTTGTTTTTCTCCCAGGCAAATATGGACTCCCAGGGTGTGAGTGCAGCCCCTGTAAACGGCTGCCTTTTCCCTCCCACCCTCAGATTTACAAAGCTGCTCTAGGAAGATTTCATGGGTGAGTGAATTCCGAATCTGGCTGGTCATTCAATTTGTTTTAGCAAATTACAGCTCTAGTGCTTTTGAATTGAGATTTTTAGTGGCTAAGAACTACTGGAATGAAGACACATGGAGTCAGGCACAGGAAAAGAACAACTTCTGGCCTAGTGTTGCCTGATAAACTGATCTCCATTGTACTAAGCAGCTGGCCGGCAGCACGCATAAAGCCCCAGGCTCGATCCCCAGCACCACAGAATGGGTGGGGCATGGTGGTGCACGCCTGTAATCCCATAGCTTTCCAGGAGAAATTCAAGGTCATTCATGGCTACACAGTGAGTTTAAGGCCAGCCCGGAATACAGAAAGAGAGAGAGAGAGAGAGAGAGAGAGAGAGAGAGAGAGAGAGAGAGAGAGAGAGAGAAAGAGAGAGAGCTCTTTCGACATGCATTCATCTGCTAGTTCCCTGAGGAAACAAATTAAAGTTTATATCCCAGTCAGAAAGAAGTAGGAGTGAGTGGCCTAACTCAACCACTGGAGAGAAGAGAGACAAGAGGAAGGAGAAAGCCTGTCCTCGTTAGTTTCGGAATTCCACAGCTGTGAGCTGGCCTCTCTGTGCAAGCTGAGAATGGCCAAGAGAGGTATCATGTTAGAGGCCCTGGCGTGTTCTTGACTTTGACTCCTCTGATATGAGCGCCCTTCACGCACCGTACTCCTTAGAAGTTATTAGCAGGCAGTTTCTGTGAACTGGATCCACCGATGGCTGCTATCTCTCCCACTCGGCTTTCTCTGTGTTGGCAGCAAACACCTGAGTCTCCAGCATCTCTCTCTTCCGTCAATTGACAGTCTGTAAGCTGATTCTTAAATGCTGTCTCCTTTGCCTGCAGTCCAGTGTGGGCTGGAGCTTCAAAGAGTTGGGTGTCCCAGGCCTTCATCAAATGATGCTGGAACATTCCTTAGCTGGGTATCAGGCATTTTCATTTCTTCCTCCTGCCCACTCAACCTCACCCCAGGGCACACCCACTGTGGAAAACAAAATAGGGCTGGCCTGGTAGCCCCCAGTTGGTTGACAACTGGGGTTAATTTTGCCCTCCAAGAGCAACTTGGCTATGCCTGGAGACATTCTTGACTGTCATTCTAGGAGGGATCAAGTTACTGGCATCTACTGCTGGGTAGAGGGAATGGATGTTGCCCAACATCCCACCGTGCTCAGAACCATCTCCCACAGCAAAGAGCTCTCAGATGCTCCTTCCCCTTCAAGTGACGGGGAACTTCCAAAAATGTAAGGAAGTTCAATGAAAGATGGACTAGAGTTAATTTTTGAATTTTGCTTCTTTATGGCTAGTAAAATTGGATACTTACTTATATCATCATAGAATGATCCAGTATTGAAGGGTTGGAAGTGTAGCTTAGTGGTATAGTACTTGCTGTGTTCCCCAGGACCAAAAAACAAACAAAAACCTAAATGTTCTGTCTGACTCAGAGTCCGGTAATGTCATCTGGAGTACGTTCCTTATAGGAGAAGAGAATAAAACGTAGGGTAGGAGGAGAGAAAGCATATGATATACTGAGCAAGGTATGTCTCCCAGCTACAAGGAAGCAACTGGTGTGACATAAACCAACCGATTTGTAAGAGAATTTTAAAGAAAGGAGGTTTCCAAAGAAAAGATCAAGGACACTACAATGTTCTTTTCCCGGCCACTGGTCCCCATCAAGGTCACGATGGCGGGACTAACAGATAATAACAGGCCGACAGCACTATTCTTGAGGTTTATAGACCCTAAACTATGTCGCAGGCTATGTGTTAGGTGCTTAACACCTTATACTGAGCAAGGTGTGTCTTTCACAGCACTGTGGACTTCTTAGGGCAAGGCAGCTTTTTGTTGTGTGGGATGGTTCTGTACACTATACGGTGTTAAGAAGTATCTGTACCCTCTACCCACTAGATACCAGTAGCATCATCTTTCCCAGAATGACAACTGAAAATGGACCCAGACATTGCCAAGTATTTCTCAGAGGGCAAAATTGTCCCCAAATATGAATCACGGCTTGCAGGGTTGCATGAGGCTGAAAAGGCTGTCTGTGTGAGGACTCAGACTCAGAGTCCTCTGGGCATTTCCAACACTCCTCTATATGATAAGGAGTCTTGGCCTGCTTGTCACAAATGTGGGCCTGGCACACCTCATACCTCTAAAGGCTTGAGTCTGAAGCCTCATACCTTTAAAGGATTGGGGCCAGGTTCTCAGGGTGGGATGAGGATTAAAAAAGATATTGGATGTACTGATGTATTGAGTATCATTGTGTCTCCCAAGTCTGCTGTGGGAACTCAGATGGAGCTCTATTAGGGAGGGTTTGTTTTGGCTCATGGTTTAATGGTACAGACCATCATGTCTAGGCAGGACATGGTAGTACCAGTGCCTCTAACTGTGGTGGCAGGAGCTTGAGGCGGCTAGCTGCATTGTGTCTATAGTCAGGAAACAAAGGAAGATGCTTCTGCTTGCTTTCCTCCTTTTCATTCAGTCCAGACCTTATGAATGGTCAGGATTGGTCTTTCCTTAGTTAAACAGGGTACCTTTTAAAGTTAAACAGGGTACCTACTCGTCGGTATGTTTGCATTGGGATTCTAAATGCAGTCAGTCAAGTTGAAAATGAGAAACTGGGCTGGTAAGATGGCTCAGTTGGTAAAGGCACTTCCTGCCAAGACTGATGACCTAATTTCAAATCCCAGGACCCACATGGTGGAATGAAAGAACCATATGGTGGCTCATAATCACCTGTAATGACAGTTCTTGGGTTCTGATGACCTCTGAGGACTTCTGAATGCATGTGGTACATATAAACTCACAAAGGAATATACACACACACACACATGCATGGGGTGGGTAACATATATAATACATACATAAATCTTTAAAAAATAAAAATTTTAAAGAAAATTAAAATTTAAAGCTCTGTACAACTAAAAAAAGAAAATGAGAACTGATATTTCTATTGCAAATGGGCTCTGTATCTGCCAGTATGAAGGAGGGTTGAGAAGTATTTTTAAATGATTAACATAAGGGACACTCTGACTCTTACCTCCAGTCTTTCCTTTCACAAAAAAACAAGGAAAGGAAAGAAAAGAAAGAAGGAAGGAAGAAAAGAAAGAAAGAAAGAAAGAAAGAAAGAAAGAAAGAAAGAAAAGAGGGAGGAAGGAAGAAACTGCGGGCGAGAGGATGTAAGTCATATACTTACAACACAAACCATACAGGCCCCAGAAACAGAGTGCCATGGCCCTCAGCCGAAGGAGACACAAATCAACCAGGGGTGGCACTTGATGGGGGAGGGCTAAAGAAAGGGCAGGATTTGAAAGGCGGAGCTGGGCACTGGTGCGGTAGGGATGTGAAGCACAGGACCCAGCGGAGGAAGAGCAGGGTTTCCCACTTGGCTGCAGATCAAATCTCACAAGGAAGTAGTGGGAAGGAAAGCTGGCAGGCAAGTGAGAAACGTTAAAGGAAAATGTCCACAAACATAAAGTGCAAAGTGCTTTCTAAACAAAAATAGTATCCTCCGTCTTCGGGGGTATTAGATATTCTCTCTGCTTCTATCTGAAAAAAAAAAAAAAAAACCCAGGATGAAAGTTGATGTAGCTGGAGTTGGTCTGTTTCTTCATAACAAGGGCTATCTTTCTCACCAGTTGCACACTCTCCTTTCTCTCCTTTTCTTCCTTTTTACAAGAGGCTGATAAGTGCAACTGTCTAGTTTCTTTATCAAGTCCCCGCCGCTGTCCTTCTGGATGGTTAGCGTTGTTCTGTGTATGCTGGAATCCACAGTAACGCTGAGGGCTGGGTGTTGAGGTACACCCTGAGTTGTTCACTGCGGAAATGTCTGTCTCAGCCCATGCCATTTCTCTCCCAAAGTCACCCAGCTTCAGTGGATGCTCCTAAGATCTTGGACATACTGGGCTGTCTGGATGATTGGCACCTGGACCGGGGGAGCCTGAAGGCATTTAAACCATCTTTGAACAGCTTCAGAAGATCTATCATCCACAGATATGTTCTTGTAGCAATCATTTGGAGCATCTCAGAAGAGCTTTTGAGTAAACGAGGTTGCCCTGAATGGCCCTGGAGTTGAAATGGCTACACTTGTCAAGAAAAACAAAACAAAACAATAACAACGACAAAAATTCGGCTATGTCAGAGGGCTGGGCTGAAGGACAAGTGTCTGAAAAAACACCTGCAGTATTAGGAATTTACTGCTGCTTGCCCAGCCTCAGGTACCTGTGCCTCGCCTTTAACTTCTATTGTGAAATCATTTAGGCCCACCCATGTATATTGTGTGTGTGTGTGTGTGTGTGCTCATCTGTGGCTTTTTTAACTTCCTTGTTTCTCCCCTGCTTTGAGGTGGCTGTGTTTTTGGAGGTTACAGTTCAGCTGATAATATGGGGTGCCACCACCTCTCTCTAGACTTGGGGGTGGAAACTAGCTCCCTGCCTCAGTGGAGATGACTGGTGGGGGTGTGGGTAGAAGAGCTTCAGTGAGTTGTATCCAGGCATGGGGTCACTGGAAAGGAAACAGCATCGCCAGTCTTGCAGTGTGGCGTAGTCTACCAGACTATGGCTGTCTCTGCTTGTGGCCTAGTCTACCAGAACCCCTCCCCCACCTATGTCTTTGGTCACACTCCTCCCTTTTACTGCACCTCAGCAGATAAATTGCTAGAGCACTTAGGAGTGCCTAAAGGGACTCATTTGGACTCCTGGGGGAGGGGAAGAGTAGGTATTTAAGCACCTCTGCCATGACACAGAGGGCTTTAGGAAGGGAAAGGGCATTTTGCTCATAGACTCGTGGCATTGGTTGTCTAGGCTGCACTTACATGGGACAGAAATTATGCAATTAAATGTGGGCAAAAGCCAAAGCTGCTCCCAACTGTGGAAAAAGCAAAACAATATAACAACAAGGCAAAATGAGTATGTCACACAAAGAATACATGGGACCACATGGAATTCTGGGAAAGCTTAGCTGGGTGAGAGGAAGAAGAAGGTGCTGGGACTGGAGAGGATGGAGGGAAGTTCTTGAGCAAAGGCTCCCCAGCAGGCAGGATGGCTTTGGGCCTTTTGAAGGAACCAAGTGAAGCCAGAGCAGCTGCTCTACTGGCGAGAGGAAGTGCCGTGGGAGGCAGATTGGAGAAAAAACCCACTGGGGGCTAAGCCTGCAGGGTGTGGTCTTTTACCTGAATTCAGAAAGGCGCTGCTAAGGAATTTTACCCAGTGAATGGACACCTTTGGCTTTCTGGTTTGATTCTGTGCTTTAGTTGAATCATCACCTGTGGTAAAGTGTATATAGATAGTCAACCCTCCTTAGAGTTCTATGCATGAATACTGAGACTTAAGAGACAGATGCTGTCCATCCCTGGCTTAGTTTCTCAGGCCCTTTGTTGCTGGGGTGTTGAGAGTAGATGGAGCGAGTGAGGGGAAGGGAAGGGGAGTTTGGAATGTTTCCCATCTCTTTGGTTGAGTGGAGGTGCTGGGCTGTACCTGAGCAGAATCCCAGTAGGGACAGAGGTCAGTGGGAAAAGAGAAGCCAATGCTGGAGATAAAAGTAATTAGACTTACTCTCGGTGTACGTGGGAGGGGTGAAGAGAGGTACAGATCTTGAGCGGTGGAGTGTGAGCAGCGTGGCTGGTCATGGTCCCCTCTGTAGAGGTGGAACAAGCTGAATGAAGAACTGGCTTTCCAGGAGAGGGAAGAATGGGCTATTCCATTCTGGGCTCGTTAATTTTTAAATACCTGTGAAAGATACAGGTAGGGATGGCAACTAGATAGGTATGGGTCAAAGATGCACAGTTCAGAAGCGGCTGCTTAGACATGGAGATCTGTCCCGTGGATGGCGTTGTCTAGTAAAATGGGGTAGTGCGGAAATGCAGAAACAAGCCAGGATTGGAACGAAAGTTATAAATATTTATAATCAGGGCAGAGAAACCGACAAAATAAGTCTTTTCATTGTTGCAAGCAAAATACATGTCAGAAATAAAAGAGCAATGGTTTATGTGTGCCCATGGTTCCAGAAACTACAGTCCATCATTGTGGGAAAAGTAGAGTAGAGTTGGAACCTGTGGGAGGCAAGAGACAGAGAGCATGCCCAGACCCAGGGACCAGATAGACTTCCTGCCCCTGGGGACGGACCTACCTCTGCCAGCCAAGTCCCAGCCAACCACTGCTTCTACAGCTTCTCCAAACACCACCACCATCTGGGGAACAAGCATTCAAACTATGAGCCTATGGGGGAACATTTTAGATTCAAACTTAACCAAGGTGAAAAAAAATCCAAGAATAGGAGGGCATGCATATATATATATATATATATATATATATATTCCCATCTGGTGTGCACCAAGAATAGGAAAGCATAAAAGAAGAATGTGTTTCCGTCTGGTGTGCACAATCAAGGTATGTGAGGAAAACGCTGAAAGGGGATATTTGTATCTGTTGTGTCTGGTGATTCGGAAGTCATGGTGAACTTGAAAAGTCACCTCATTACACCTGGTGATTTAGAGGTCATGGCGCCCTTAAAAAGTCACCTTGGTGGGGCAAGGCGAGTAGGACTAGTGTGGAACAGAGGAGCAAGTTGAAGAGAATAGGTATTAGTAGAGAAAAATGCTTTGGTTGTGTTGAGAGAAAAGGAGAGGGCCAGCATGACGGCTCAGTGGGTCAAGGAGCTTTCCACCAATCCTGACAACTTGAGTTCTATCCCTGGAACCCACAAGGTGGTGGAAGGAGAGAACTGACTCTCCCAAGTTGTCCCCTCATTTTCGCACATGTCTTGGCATACATGTACTCTTGCACATGAGTGTGGACACATTCTCAGACACACACATACACACACACACTAATTAGGCAAATGTTAAAATTTTTTAAGATGAAAGGAGATAGGCACTCAGTACTAAAAGGGACTGAAGATATAGGCAAGGCAGGTAACTGGAGAGCCACTTGGCATAAAATAATAATAAAAATATTATTATTACTATTATTATTGTGGTGGTGGTTTTAGCCAGGTGGTGGTAGTGCATACCTTTAATACCAACACTTGGGAGGCAGAGGCAGTTGGATTTCAGTGAGTTTGAGGCCAGCCTGGTCTACAGAGCAAGTTGCAGGAAGGCCAGGACTGTTACATAGAGAAACCCTGTCTTGAAAAACCAAAAAAAAAATGTTGTTTTAGGGGATCTCATATATCTGAGGCTGGCCTCAAACTTAGTAGGAGTAAAGGATGACTTCAAACTCCTGGTCTCCCTGCCTTTACCTCCCAAGTACTGAGGTTACAGGTACGTGCCACAAAGCATGGCTTGAATTAAAAAAAAAATACTAGAGCTTGTTTGCAGTTGATAACTCTCAAGCATGGAGGAGGGTATTAGGCTAGAAGAGAGCCTGAGGATCCAGGACTATGAGAAAGGAGGAGAACAGAATCCAGAGTAGGAAGAGAAGATGAAAGACAGACAGACAGTCAGACAGGTAAGTGGATGGCTAAACAGACAGACACACATGTTAGTAGGAAGAAATTTGGTGGTAAAATTATAAGGAAGTTATATACAGTTTTTTGTTTGTTTTGTTTTTGAAACAAGGTTTCATAGAACCCAGGCTAGCTTCATACTTGCTCTGTATCCCAGGGTGACCTGAAACTTTGGATCCTCCTGCCCCTGCCTCCTGAATGCTGGGACAACAGGTGTAATTTATTTTATGCAGTGCTGGGAATTAAACTCAGGGCTTCAAGCGTGCATGTTAGGCAAGTACTCTACCAATCACACGATATTACATCTCCAGATCTAGCTCCCCCTTTTCTCTTGAAAGAAACAAGTGTGTCCAGCACAGCAGCTCGGAGCTTTGATGCGTGGATGTGGAATTGTTTAAACAAGTTAGACAGTGAGGGATGGCAAGTTGGCTCAGAGGGCAAAAGCACTTAACATGCAAATCTGACAACCTGCGTTCAATCTCCAGAACCATATGACTTTGGACATGGTGGCTTTCCTCTACAATGTCTGCACTCTTATGGTGTGATGGGAGAAGAGACATGGGAATAGATGAAGGCCATCTCGCCTGGAGTACTCAGAGCAGTAGAGACAAGAGAGACCCTGCCTCAACAAGGTGGAAGGAAAGAACCAGTTCCTGAAAGTTGTCCTTTGACTTTCACACATATGTTGTGACACCCCTCTCCATTGCTGTTACCACTACCACCATCACCACCACCACCATCACCGCTGCCACCATCATCATCACCACCATCATCACCACCACCACCATCACCGCTGCCACCATCATCACCACCATCATCATCACCACCACCATCACCATCACCACCATCACCACCACCACCATCACCACCACCACCATTATCAACACCACCCTCAAGTAAAATTGAACTGTTAGGCAGTGAGACCTGGACATACATGGACAGATGGCTACCCAGCAATATGGCTGAGATTTGTGATCATAAATTGAAATTGAAGCCAGATCTGTGTGATTGCAGATCTCTACTGTAATACGAGGTGCCAGTTGGAAGAGAGAGATTTAGGGCTCTGCCAAGTAACAACAGAGGATTAACTCGCTGTTGGACCATTTGGCCCAGGCCTTCCAGAAGAGCCAGGGTATGAGGGGCGTAGGAATGCCACAGAGCTCATGGGAAGTACAGGCGCCACATCCTTTCACATCCTTTCATCTGGGCCTCCATGGAGAACTTTTCTCTCTGCTGCTCTGGCCTGTAAGCTAACAGCTGGGGAAGGACAATACCTGAGATGCAGTGGTGACACCCAGTGACGGCTCCTCGAAGTGCACCTTGTTGGGTGTGGGCTGGGAGCCTCTCCAGGAGGCTGTTCTCTTTCTGCTCTACTCAAATGCTTTGCGCTCTCCCAGCTATCTCTTGCAGGATTCAGTGCCTGCACCCTAGCATTCCCAAGGTGGTGAAGTGTTGTGTGGCGGGATAGCTTAGAGGGGAGTGCAAAGACGCCCAAAGTAACCTGGGCTGTTAGCTCCAGAGCCCAGACATCTTCTTCTCCGCTGGGTCCCTGCTGGCCAGGAACAGTCCTGATTCCCGAATACTGGGGCATTCTAAAACCCTGTCCAGGTTCAAACAAATGCCGGGCAGTGCATAGACTCTTCTCTGTCACGGCAGTCCTGGGGTATTTACCTCTTGGTTGATGCAAGAGCTGAATGAGGACTGCACCGTTCTCCATCACTTCCAAAGAGTGTTCTTCCTTGGGCCTAAGACATCATACTGTCCCCGGCTCTGTTTGTCCCCCGCACCAAGATCTGCTTTGTCTAGAGATTCATAGGCTTCCCTGCAAGTTTGTATCTATTTGATATCTGTCACAAGTCCTGGGTTGGACTTGCGGGCTAAGGAGCTGGATATCCCTTAATTAGAGGCTAGTCTTTAGGAAATAAGGATAAAAAGATTTGGGTCTGGAGAGATGGCTTAGCAGTTAAGAGGACTTGCTGCTCTTGCAGAGGATTCAGGTCCAGATCCCAGCACATACGTGGTGGCTTCACAACCATCTGTGATGACTCTAGTTCAGAAGGACCCAATGCCCTCTTCTGACCTCTGTGGGCACCAGGCAGGAATGTGGCACTCTTACATATAAGCAGGCAAACCACATAGAATAAAATGCATCTTTTAAAATTATTTCTCTCTCTTACTATTTTTAATTGTGTGTGTGTGTATGAGAGAGAGAGAGAGAGAGTGGGGGGGGGGAGAGAGAGAGAATGTGCATGCACATACATACATGAGTGCAAGTGCCAGGATTTGGAGCTGCTGACCGATGTGGGTGATGGGAGATAAACTGAGTCCTCTGCAAGAACAGTAAGGCTCTTTTTAATTTTTATTTTTTGCTTAGGTTTATTTTACTTTATGTGTATGGGTGTTTTTCTCACCTATGTCTGTATATTATGTGCCTCCTGGGACTGGAGTTATGGAGGATTATGAACTACCATGTGGGTGCCAGGTCCTCTGCAAAAAAACAAATGTCTTAGCCACTGAGCTCTCTCCAGCCCCCGTCTGAGCCCCTTCTACCCAAGGGGAAAGTACAGAGGATCAACAAGGGGAGTTCCTTTTGCAACACCTTTTAGGTCCCACACTTTTTTGCTCTTCTGACATAAATACTTAAGGCTGTATTATCGGGTATTTATACCACACATATGTCACAAGATTGAAGGAGAAAGAGAAACTCCATAGCAGTGTGATTGTAGTGACAAAGTGACAGCTGGTGTCCTCCTAAGGCTGGGAGGACATACAGAGAGGTGGGTGCAGGAGAAACACACAAGTCTTGAGACAGGCTGAACTGCCTTTACATCCCAGCTCTTCAGAATTTAGAGGACTTCCTTTGGGCACATAGGGAATTTAAGGTCCCTTTGAGGTAGAGACTCTGAACACACACAAACCTACAAACCACACCCAGAAGTGGCAGCAATTACAGTTATTAGGATGTTGGTGCGTCAAATCGAACCAGAGATGCAAATGACTTAATTAAAGCATTCGATCCATCTTTAAGCCAACTTCATGTGCATTAAATAAAATATGGGATGCCATTTCCCCTTCTACACATCTAACTGTCACTCTCTAAATATTTAAAGCAAGAGAGGTTTCCATTTGCTCTGGAGTGGGATGTGGCACAAATCTAGAAGAGGCGCGAGAGGACGGCTGTGCAATCTGTCTGCAGAGTGTTTCCAGCGGTCTTTTGAAAGTTTTGAGAACCTTTGCCAAGAGTCTATCTTTCCACCGTCCCAGTTGCTGTAGTACGTACGGCCTACTGGCTTCAGGGGAAATCCCTGAAGAGGGTCTCTACGACTTTCGGTCCAGTCACATTAACTGAGAGGAAATGCACACTTGACCTGTAGCCCAACGGGGACCCTGGCTAGCCTGCCCTGTTAGCGCTCTGCCTTCCTACCAGCTTTTCCGGTATCGTTTGCTTCCTGGTCCTACCCACTGCCCTCTGGCCAGCTCTAGCATTTGTTTGCCTGAGAGGTTCTGCTTGCTGGCTTTGCTCCTGCAAGGTCTCAGAGAAGGCCTGATCCGTGTGTGTACACAAGCCCCTCCCTGATTGGTGCGGTTCTCCTTGGAAAGCCATTTGCCAAGTCCATAAAAAGGGCCCAGACACAGAAAACAAATGGACTGAGAGTCCAACCAGGGTTTTTAAGTTGTGCCCCTTTAATTCAGACTGGCCTTCTTGCTCTGTTCAGTCCTAGTTCCTCAGTGTTCCCAAGAGTTTCCTGGGTACTTATCCCTCCTGCCCCTCACCCCACCCCAGGGGCTGACACATAGTCTGGCAGGCCTTCTAGACTGTGGGTCTTTTTTTTTTTTTTTTTGATTTTCGAGACAGGGTTTCTCCGTAGCTTTTTATTTTGGTTCCTGTTCTGGAACTAGCTCTTCTAGACCAGGCTGGCCTCAAACTCACAGAGATTTGCCTGCCTCTGCCTCCGGAGTGCTGGGATTAAAGGCATGCGCCACCACCGCCTGGTCTGATTGTGGGTCTTAAGTCCCATCTCCCTCTGGACTGTGACAGTGGTTCACCTTTCTATCCGTTCTTTGCACAAGTACTTTTTTAGGTACCAACTAAGTGCCAGATGCTACTCTAGGTGCCAGTGGTCAGCGGGGAACAGGAAAGTGAAGTCCCAGCCCTTGCAGACATTACATCCTGAAAAGGGAGAAATTGTGGACAGTAGAATCAGCAGTGAGATGCTCCATTAAAAACACATATCTAGGGCTGGGGAACAGGAATGATGGGGGGGAGGGCGGGGTCCCAGGTGGGCTTTTCAGGGGAGGCATGAGTAGACAGACACCTAAGCAGAGAGAGGGGAGAAGCCACTGGGATAATGGAGTGACTATTCCAGATAGGGAATACCAAGGCCTGACTTAGGTAGACTTTGATATTTGACCTGTTTTTCTATGCTATCCTATGAGGAGCACTTATTTAATTTTGAAAAAATATACACACGTCGACCACTTAGACCACTTTTAAAATACACAACTCGTTACCCTTAAGGCATTTGCATTTTACTTTTTGTTTGTTGGTTGGTTTTTTATTTTTTTGAGACAAGGTTTCTTTAGGCATTTGCGTTTTGTATAGACACCACCACAATCCATCCCCAGCACTTTCTTTTTCCTTTTCCTTTTTTTAAACCAAACCTCTGGATCCATTCCACAATAAGTCTTCCTAAGGCAAGATAGAAAGACAGAAAACTGTGAGGCATGGCAGGGGAAGGAACCTCCTGAGTCTGGCTGAAGCCTCTAGCCAGCTGGAAATCAAGAATTCCAGCATAATTAACATTTGCTTAAGACCTTTCCCTTTTCTTAGCTGAAAGCCTGCAATATTTTAGGGATCTCACCAGAACACCCCTTTAACAGTGAAAGGACACAGCCTAAGCCCCAGTGGCTCCTGATTTTATCTTATCACATTATAATTCCACCCAAGGCACCTCTGGCGCCATCTTATAATCACATATATCAAAGAAGATAGAAAGAATTCCTGGAGTATGGAGGAGTGTGAGGGGGTAGGGATACTTGCCACCATTCCTGATGAGCTGAGTTTGATGCCCAGAAAAGAGGGCTAACTCCTACAAGTTGTTCCCTGACTGCCACCTATATGTCATAGTACATGTGTGTCAACAGCCGGCACACACACACACACACACACACACAAAATAAATGTAAGACTAAATTTTCTTTTCTTCAAGTCATTTGAGTTGTAGAGACACCGTGATGGCATATGTGACTACTGCTGGACACTTGAGTGTGACTGTCTTTGAGAAGCCAATACCCATGCTCTCTGGTGTGCCTTAGGCTTTTCCTGAACACTTCTCACTTCTCACTTCTCTCTCTCTCTCTCTCTCTCTCTCTCTCTCTCTCTCTCGGTGTTTGTGTGCATATGTGTGTGTATGTGAAGTCTAGAGGTCAACGTTGTTCATCTCCTTTTATTGCTGTCCACCTTATTTTTCCTTTATTCTAAACTTTTTTATGTGTGGGACTGTTTTGCCTACATGAATGGATGTATGTGGACGACATGTGTGCCTGAAGCCTAAGGAGAACACAAAAGGGTGTTGAACTCCCTGGAGGAGTTACAGATGGTTGTGAGCCACCATCTGGATGCTGGCAATTGAATCCTGGTCCTCTGGAAGAGCTGCCAGTACTCTTAACCACTGACTGTCTCTCCTGCCCCCTGTTCACCTTATTTAAAAGACAAGGTCTCTCCGTGAACTGAGATCTCCTCAGTTTGACTAGGCTGGCTGGACAATGAACTTCCGGGGTTCTTCTGTCTTTGCATCCCCAGAAATGAGGAGCAGCCACCATGCTTAGCCTTTACATGGCTGCTAAGAATCTAAACTCAGGCCCTCATGCTTTTACAGCAGACACTTTATTGACTGAGCCATCTCCCCAGCCCTCTCTATTTTTAATAAACTCCAACTCTGCTTCATACTGTCTTGCCCCACTTTTTTTTCTGTGCTGAAGTCAAGAATCCCATTTACTTGAATTGAGATTCCTATAAGATTAAGAATACTTCTCAGGTTGTGAGAGCTGTAGTGTGGGTTATGCCTCTCCCTCACCCCAGCGGCTACCATTAATTTACTTTTTATGTAATGAACACTGTTATGCTTTGGATATTGTTTTAGTAAGGGTTCTCTAGAGGGACAGAACCAAGGAGATGAAAAATATATATATATACACACACACACACATATATATATATATATATATATATCAGAGTTTATGAAGTTACCTTTAAAGTAGTAACAAGAGCCAAATTATACCTGAGAAGCAGAGAACCCCATAGCAACATGGCCCTGGAGGCTGAATGTCTTAACAGTCAGAATAGTCCCATAACAGCTATCTCATTGAGTTTGAGAACTGATAACTATTCAGTCCACAAGGTGGGGTGCCTCAGTAATTCCAATCGGGCACTGGAAGCCCAGAAGTTTCCTGGAAAGCCGAGAGCTAATGATCCCTAGTCATGAGGAAATCTTGGAAACAGTTCTTTTATTATTGCAGGAATCATCATATCATCATCACCACCACCACCACCATCACCACCGTCAGCATCATCATCGCCACCACCAACACCATCATCATCACCACCACCACCAGCATCACCAGCATCATCATCACCAACACCATCATCACCACCACCACCATCATCACCATTATCATTACCACTGCCAGCATCATCATAACTATCATCACCACCATCATCAGCAGCACCATCATCATTACCATCATCACCACCATCATCATCATCACCATCATCACTATCATCACCATCATCATTATCATCAGCAGCAGCAGCAGTAGAAGGAGGACAAATAAGTCTGAGGCAAGAGGGAAGGCCAAAATGAAAGATGATCTTCCTTCTAACATCCTTTTTAAAAACTAAAAATGTTTTTATTTAGACTTTAAATTTTATACATATGTCTGTCTTTGCCTACACACACACACACACACACACACACACACACACACACACACACACAAGCCTAGTGCCAGAAGGGGTCAGAAGTTGGTGTCGGATCCCTATAACTCGAGTTGTAGATGTCTGTGAGCCACCATGTGGGTGGTGGGAACTGAACCCAGGTCCTCTGGAAGAGCAGCCAATGATTTTCACTGCTCAGCATATCTCTAGCTCCCTGATATGTTCCCCCTCATTTTAAAATCTGGGCGGCTACCAGAAGGTGCCACCCACAGTCAGGGCAGGTCTTGCCATATCAATCAAAGCAATCAGGACAGTTCTTCAGTTGGGGTTCTCTCCCTCCTCAGGTGATTCTAATTTGTGGCAAGTTGACATTAAAAACAACAATGATAGGTAAGAAATGTCCCTGCAATGCTCAGATGTTGAAGGACTGGTCCCCAGTACAGCAGTGTTGAGAGGTGAATCCTTCGGGCGTGTATTAGATCATGAGGACTCTGACTTCTACAATGGCTAATTCATCAGTAGATTCATAGCTTAATGGTCTATCGGGAGGATATGGAAACTTTAGGATGTGGAGCCTAGTTAAGAGTAGGTCACTGGGGGCATAGCCTTGAAGAGTATTGTGTCCCTTGCTCTCTCTTCTTTCTCTGTCATTTCCTGCCCCACCCTTCTCTTTCTGCTTCCTAGGCCCTACCCAGCACTTGGTAGCTCAAAGGACAAAGTTGGAGGGAATGGTCAGAATCCTCGCAGGTTCAGGTGTATAGTCTCTGGAGCCTGTGCACTTCCTAACATGGATCCTTACTCTCCTGATGATTCTGTGGGCACCGATGTCCTTTCCACAGGTCCCACTTCCATGTGAGACATGGTACTGGGTTCTGTTATTGTCAAGGGAGAATGCTGAATGCCACCCAGAGTCTTCTCTGATGCATCTAGAGATGCTTCAGGGGTGTTGGGATGGCAGAAGTTCTAGACCAGTGGGAAGCAGCGGGCTGGGAAAGGTTTGCAGTATCTAGAGCCCCTTATCTGCCTGATGAATGGGTAGCATGAGGTTTTCTGGGGTGAGTTCGTACCATCAGCTCCAGGTGGCTGTTTATATGCTTGCTTTCTTTTTTTTTGGAAAATGTTCATCTGTTTAATGAATGCTTCAAGGTTACTACATCTTTTGTGTGGTCATAACATCTCAGAGCTGGCCACAAGGATCATATATTTTGACTGCATCATCCAAACAAGACAAACAGAAACAATTCATCTTGGAGAATCTCCAGGCAATGAAAATGCTGCCCCTCATGCCCCTTTCTGATACTTGCTGCTGAGCTATGAACTTTGCTGCACAGCCATAGTGCTCCAACGGTCTTCATGAAAGCACTTCAGAGGGGGCTAAAACCACTCCCCAGCCTTCTCTTCTGGAGAAGACACCTAGAATTGGAAGCAAAGCTCGTGCTTCTCCTCCCTCCCAGTGCTAGGAATCAAACTCAGGGCCTTGTGCTTGCTGGCTTCACTCTACCACTTGGCTGTCCTGTCAAAGCTGGCTGTTGACATCAAGTGTCTTCTCGTAGTAGTTAGGTTTCTATTGCTGTGAATACCGTGACCCAAAGCAACTGGAGGGACACAGGGTTCATTTCACCTTACAGGCTGCAGTGCTTTGTGAAAGGAAGTCAGGGAGGGAACCTGGAGGCAGGAACTGAAGCAGAGACCTCAGAGGAGTGTTGCTTACTGGCTTGCTCTTCATGGATTGCTCAGTCTGCTTTTGTATACAACTCAGGTCCAGTGGCAACCCGTACAGTGGGTGGAACACTCTTACCACATGAATATAGGAAGCCCTATATTCAACCGCTAGTAGGACAAAACAAAGCAAAACAGGAGCACAAGCCAAAATAAACAAAACCCCTGGGGTCTGGATAAGCCTACAGGCTCTGGTTGCAAACGTTGCATCATATTGATGGAGACCTAATCTATATCCTGTGTTGTCATCTTGGGCCCTTGTAAGTAGGCTTATTTTACAGCTGAACAACATCCATGTTTCGCTCGGCCCACTCAGGTTCTGCCCTTTTCCTCAGGACAGACCAGGGATGTGACCATCTGGAGTCCATTCATTTCCCCTTGTAAAACATGGTTTTGATACAGTAGAGTAGTGATTCTCAACCTTCCTAACGACTGCAGCCCTTTAGTACAGTTCCTCGTGTTATGGTGATCCTCAACATAAATTATTTTTTATTGCTACTGCATAACTGAAATTTTGCTATTGTTATGAATCATAATGTAAGCATCTGTGTTTTCTGATAGTCTTAGGTGACCCCTGTGAAACGGTCCTGCTAACCACAGGTTGAGAACCACTGCTCTTGACATTGGGATTCCTGCCCAAATAGCCCTCAGTCTGTTTCCTAGGCCTGTGGGGACCTCTGGGATATCAGCTAGGATCTTTAGACCTGAAGGGCAGCCTAAACTGGTGACTGGACTGCTTCCTGACCAGTAAGGTGTGGCCTCCTTGCAGTGGGTTATCAAGGATGACCCTTGGCATGGGCACGATTGCCTGCCAGGGTCCTGGCTAGACAGTGATTAGCAAGAGTCTTATGCCCGGCTCTTCCCAAGAAAATGCATGCTTTATGTCATTGACCCTGACACCAATTCCCAGGATCCTTACAGAGGAGGACACCAAGGCACACAGAGAAGGGAGATCGAATTGCTCACAGCTAGTAGCTACAATCAATCTGCAGACAGCAAGCTGGGGCAGCGACCTAACACTGTACAACTATGGAAGCTTCTACCCCCATCCCTGGTGGGCCAGCTAGAGCACAGCGGGTGTGAGCGCACGGCCCTCGCGCCACCCCTTTGCCCTGGCCTCCGTGGGCGCACGTGGAGGGGTTCTCGGGTCGCCAGTGACTGTCTCCCAGCTGCTCTGGCCTCCCGCGAAGCCAATCCCCGGGCGGCCAGGGGCCTGGCGGGGACGGCGGCGCCTGGCAGCGGGGGATTTGGGTGCACTGGCTGGGCCGCCCCACCGGGGGTGGATCTGGGTCGTCGGCCCGCCCGCGCTCCCGGCATGCCCCGCTGCTGGCCGCTGCGGGCAGCACTCGGACTTGGCCTTGGGGGACCGCGGGGAGCCGGCACGCTCGGGAGCGGAGCCCCAGTTGAGGTGGGTGAGCAGGCGGACCGGGAGGTGGGAGGGCTCCCTGCGGGCTGCCGGGACCCTGCTTTGTTTTGCTGGGCTTCGGATGCGGGGCAGCGCCCAAGTTGGGGACCAAACTTGAGAGCGCGCGCTTAGAGCAGTGGCAGCCTTCCCAAGTGGCGGCTGGCAGGGCCAAGGAAGGGAAAGAGGGTCATGGAATTTAATCCTGATGGGTTTAGAACTAAATGGAGGGGGAAGGAGAGAAGGGGATGGGGCGAGAAAGAGAGATCGAGGAGAGAGGAAATGTCACCGAGATAACAGAAAACACACAAAGAAAGAAAAGCGCACAAAGGAACGCCCACACAGAGGGATCGCAAAGGAAGGCGGAGGGAAAGTTCAAGAGATCACAGACGCTCAGAGAAATGCTGGAAACTAAGAGAGAAGAGGAAGGCAGCGGGGAGGAATGGGGACATGGGAGAGAGGATGTGGGAAGCCCGGAGAATAAGATACCGGAGGAAAAAGTCTAGAAAGGAATACAAGAATAGGGAGGAAAGAAAAGGGTTAACATGGGTAGACAAGGAAGGACTATAAAGAGTTTCTAGACCCTTGTACCTCTCTCTTCCTAGTTTCCCAACAGAGGTTACAAGATGTAAAAAAAAAAATCCTTCGGAGAGAGCAGCCCTGGAGAACTCTGAGGAGGCTTCCTTGACAATTTAAGCCAGTAAACCCCCCATCCTGTCTACCTGGAACTCTTGCCCATCCCTCAAAACCCACTTCAAGCATACCCAGGCCTGTGTAGGGGGCTTTTCTAGAAAGTATCATGCAAATGTAATCTCTTTACTGTCTGAGTCTGCACCCAGCCCATTTACACAGAACAGAATCCTTCCCCGCTAGTTCGTTAACATGGTGGTGGTGGGGGAGGGGTTTGCGCCTTCTCATCTTTAGTCTTTGGAATTCAGTGTTTGTTGCATGATCAAGTGACCATCAGAGTTTGAAATCCCGGAGACATGGCAAATGGAAGTGATGGACCATCCCGGGGTCGTAGGGATTGCTAAGGCAGAGCACTCCTTTTTGTAGGTGAATAAACTAAACCCAGGGAGGGAAGGAGATTGCTCAAAGGGATGCAGATGGGAGGCCTGAAAGAATGCTGCAAAGGGTAAGGTGCCCTGACTTGAGTTTAGCATACACCGACAGGCCACATCACATACCAGTGAGTAGTGACTCACATATAGCATGGTGGTCCTATAGAACTGCATCATGTAATGGACACCGTAGCTGGTGTAAGTTTGTGTTCACTTGTTTAAGTTTGATCTGGGCGTTTGACCGTGACCGCGACACCTGGCGATACATTTCTCAGAACAAAAGCGCGTCGTTAAACCATACCTGACTGCTGATGTGAAAGAACCTCCCGCGCGCGGTGAGAGGCAAGGAATAAATACTCTGCTCTGCTTGTACTTTTCCAATACTGGAAGTGGCCGCCAGAACCCACTGCGGAGCCTTCATTCTTCCTTAGGAAGGGAAAGAAAGGTGCCTGTTAATTTAGGCAGGCCAGCTAATAGACTTGGACAACTTCCCCATCCTCCTGGGCCCTCAGTTTCTTCTTCATAAAGTAGAGATGCCCATACCTGCCTTGGACGGCTGTTGGTAGACAAGGTAACGCATACAGGGTGTCTGACACGGAGGGGCTCCTCACCAGGTGCAACCTTCTGCTTGTGCTGCCGTGGTTTTCTTGCACTCACATGTTTTGCAATGGGAAATCGTCAGTGCCCGTGCAGATGTGCCCCGAGCTATCTCAGTCTAACCAGAAAATAACCACTTATCTTAAAGGAGAAGGGACATTTGGGCTTTGCATTGAGGTCCCTTGGGTTTGCAGGTGACATGAGGGTGCCGTGCTACCCTTTCCATCCTCATTCGCCGTTTCTGGCCGGGAAGACCCAGCCGTCCCTCCCTTCTTTGCCTTGTCTTTACGCAGCTGTTTAATGTTCTGGTCCCTCCAGCTTCCACCTGCTCAGAGGATGTGAGTGGACTGTATCCGGGAGCCCCTGGAAGCATGGAGACGGTGGTGATCGTCGCCATCGGTGTGCTGGCCACCATCTTCCTGGCCTCGTTTGCTGCCTTGGTGGTGGTGTGTAGGCAGCGCTACTGCCGGCCCCGAGACCTGCTACAGCGCTATGATTCCAAGTGAGTGGGCTGAGATGCGGAGGGAGGAGAGCCCCGGCAGCAGAAAGCCAGAGGGACAGAGCAGTTTGCTCCTGGGCCACTTCAGTTCAACCTATTCTCTCTTAAATGGTTCCTGCAGGTCACACTTCTCTATAAAGACTTCAGAGCTTAAGAGCGTTCTTTAACAGAGCTGTGCGGTGGTGGCGCATACCTTTCTAATTTTTTTTATTCATCTATTTCATCTTGGCCACAGCCTCCCCCCATCCTCCCCTTCCAGTTCCCACCTCTCTGCTCCAATCCCACAACGCCCATCCAGGAAAGGGCAGGTTTCCCGGAGTATCAGTAAAACATGGCATAACAAATTGCAGTAAGACTAAACACCTCTCCATGTATTGACGCTGGGCAAGGCGACCCAGTATGAGGAGTAGGGTCCCAAAAGCCAGTAAAAGAGTTAGAAACAGCCCCTGTTCCCACTGTTAGGAGTCACCCAAGAGGACCAAGCTACACAGCTTTAACATATATTCAGAGGGCCTATGTCAGTCCCATGCAGGCTCCCTGGTTGTCTGTTCAGTCTCTGCCAGCCCCCATGAGCCCAGGTTAAATCATTGTGTGAGCCTTCCCGTGGTGTCCCTGACCCCTCTGGCTCCTACACTCCTTTCTCCTCCTCCTCTGTTTCTTTCCTGAGCTCTGCCTGATGTTTTGCTTTGGGTCTGCTTCTGCTTCCATCAGTTGCTGGGTGGAACCTCCCTGATGACAGTTGGGCCAGACACCAATCTGGTCAGTTCAGACTACTTATCCCAATGACCGGGAGTCTAAGTTAGGGTCCTCCCTCTAGACTCCTGGGAGATTCCCCTGGGTGGCACACACCTTAATCCCAGTACTTGGGAGGCAGAGGCAGGTGGATCTCTGAGTTGAAGTCCAGCTTGGTCTACAGATTGAGTTCCAGGACAGTTAGGGCTGTTACACAGAGAAACCCTATCTCAAAAAAATCAAACAAACCAAAACCAAAGCAACCTTGCTTAAGCCCACCAGCATCCTGGGACACTACTTTTTCCGTTCCTTCAGTCACAGAGAAGTCACTGAATGTGTTCGCCTGGCATGAAAGCCCCATCTTTGCGATGTCGGCCACCTCGTTTGACAGGAGATGAGCCAAATTCCTTTCCAGCTAAAACTCTGGAAACGACAATCTGATTCTCACACTCAGGCACACACCTAAGCAACAGATGTTCCAAATCTTGCAGTTTTGTCTTATGGATGCCTGTCTCCTTCATCATGCATTGTTTTGTGAGATTGATTTTGCAAGCAAGGTCATTTTAGGGATTTTGAGTGGAGACAACCATAAAGGATATTAGCAACCAACCTTAGGCTTCTGATGTTTCTTGATCTTAACTAGGTTAGTGTCTCTGCTGAGTGGTTAACCTGTAAATGCCCACTTAGATGTCTCCACCGCCCCAAGGAAGGCTCTGCTTTGCAAGGAATGTCTCTGTAGTTAGGTTCTACCGAACCCTGCCATGAAGGAGGAGGTAGTTTTATTCAGAGAGGAGAAGTGGTTCCCAAGAGTGATTCTGTACACCAGTTAGGGACACAGGGCTGATCAGAATGACAATATTCCCGTACTAACATAGGCTTTAAAGGAAAGAAAGGAAGATTGCCAGTCCTTTCTCGGACATCTCTGCAATCATGCTAGCACTGCCCTTTCTCCAGCCGTTCAGCTCATCCTGTCTCGCTTGCATTTCGGTCTGCCTTCTTGACTCACTGTATAGCCGTGTGCCTTGTCTTGTGCTATGAGCCCATTATAGTTAGGTCTCTACCCAGACAAGTGGCCTCGCCTCTGAATTCTCTACACCTTTGTCACCATAACAAAATGCACGAGATAACTTAGTGTAAAGAGAAAAGGTTTCTTTTGGTTCATGGGTTTAATGGTTCTGATTCACAATCCGGTAGGCTCACTGCTCTAGACATCGGATGATGCAGCCAGAGGGGAGTCTGTGGGGAGGCAAACTGCTCACCTCGTGGTCAGAATGCAGAAAAAGAAGAAAAGGAGAAAGCCAATGTCTTATCCTCCCCTTTAGGTTCCAGCCTCAAAGACTTAAAGCCCTCCCGCTAGGCTCCACTCTTAAAGGACCCACCTCCCAAGAGTGCCATCCTGGGGACCAAGCCTTTAACACTCAGGCCTTTGGGGGACATTCAACACCTAAACTGTAGCAGTGGCTGTGATGAGAAGAGGGTCAGCCACAGTCACTTGTCATGAAAGTCTAATAGTGGCGTTCCTTCTAGGCCCATTGTGGACCTCATTGGTGCGATGGAGACCCAGTCTGAGCCCTCCGAGCTAGAGCTGGATGATGTTGTCATTACCAACCCCCACATCGAGGCCATTCTGGAGAATGAAGACTGGATTGAAGATGCCTCGTAAGGCCTCAGGGGAACTTTGGCTCTCTAGCCCTTAGGGATAGCAAAGGGGCTTCTGGGTTCCTTTACCAGAACACTGCGCTGTGCACTCAGAGCTCTTCCCTGTCCTTGTCGTGAGGGATGTCAGCATAGGGCATGACAGTGTTTGTTCTTGTCTCATTCCCCTTACTTTGTAGACTTGAACGCCCGGGCAGTTAGCTGTGTGGCAGGCATCATTATAAAGTCCCCCAGTGTGGTCGGGTTATTCTTGGACTGTCCAGGGATTTTGAGTCAGCTCCAGGCGGCCTTTGCTTTCAGTGTCCCACAGAGGGCTGTCGTCTGTCCCACAGAGGGCTGTCTGTCCCACAGAGGGCTGTCTGTCCCACAGAAGTGCCTGCCGCTTCCTTTCGTTACCCCTTTATCTTTCTGTCTACCGACATACGTTTATGGGGCACTATATACAGGGTATGGGGCCGGGCCCTGTGGATATCAGAGTGACAGAGATCTGGAACTGCACCAGAGCCAGTGTCATAGAGAGACTAGGGGGTCTCAGCGTAAGAGGAGTGATCCAGGGAGTGAGCAGTGTCCAGGTCTGCCTGGGGTAAGGAGATCAAGGGAGCTTTGATGAAGCCTGTCCCAAAGGGGGGCCTTTTAAGAAACATTTTAAATTGTACTTAATGAGTTTCACATTGACATTTCATACCTGTATACAATGTATTTTAACCATATTCACCCATTACTATTTCTTGTTCCCTTTTTCTTCCTGAGTAGTGCCCCTTACACCTTCTTCCTTCATATCTTTGGAGTGTGTGCACAGGCATGCATGTGTGTTGTGTGTCCCTCATTTAGTTTAACTAGGGTTACTTACAGGAATTACTTGTAGGAACATGGGCCATTCCAAAGTGTCTACAGTACTAATGAAAGAAAATGTTTCTCCTTTTCCTTTACCCAAGAACCATTAAGTGCCCATGAGCCCTTATGGAGGGTGGGGCCTCATAAGCCCCTCCCCTGAATAGGTGCCTTTTGACTGGGTTTACTGAAAGAGGAACTCACTGAATCTAGGGGAAAGGGCACGTTGAGTACACAGTGATATAAAATGTTGGACTTGGCAGGTGGGGACGGAGCCGGCTGGAGAGCTGGGTGGGTGTGTACACTATAGCGCTGGGGGTTTCCACTTGGAGATGGTTTCCTACTGAGCTCCTGGTGCTGACTGAAAAGCGGTGGGGGTATCCAGAAGGAGCTTGGCTCTTTAGAGCAGCACTAACACATTCCTCTTGTCTCCTCAGGGGCCTCATGTCCCACTGCATCGCCATCTTGAAGGTAATACTCTGATTTCCCTGAGAGGCCAAGGGCTGTGCTGGAGCACCCCGTGTGTACACGGAGTTGACCTGGCAGGCAGCCCCAATCAGCCCCGTGCTGTATTTCTACAGTCTGCTTCCGTCTCTCCCTAGTGGGTCTGTTTTACTTCAGCATTCTCAAAGTTCTCTCTAGGCTCTGTCACATCTGGTCCTCTCAACACAGTGACCCGTGGAAAGGACAGCCTGGGGAGGGGGGGTAATAATTTTACAAACCTCGGGGAAAACTGGGTGTCTGAGGCCTTAGAGTTGCTGAAGCAAATGAGGCTCTGGCCTCCCTGGGATCCTTTGTTTATTTACACCCAGCTCAGTCCATGGAATGCATTCTGTATTTGGGTTTCAGTTGTTAGAAAGTCTTCCCTGGCTTCTTTGGGGTCAGTAGTCAGACAAAAGGGATTACCAGGGTTAAAAAGACAAAATCCCAAACAGCAAGTTATTCCACTTGGAGGCAGACTTTGGTCTTTGAAGGCCTGAAGCCTTTGGAAAATTACATCCAAACTGCGCGTTAGCCATCTTCATAGTTCCAACATCCATTTCTCAGCTCTTGCCTGACATTATCCTTCCCAATAGAAGAAGAATAACATGCAAATATTTAACACAATGCAAATGTGGGTTTCTGCACGTCAGTGACCTTGTCTACTAATTATTCAAGATTCCAAGAGACAACTTGGGCTCCTCTCTAGGGTCACTCAGCACAGGATATTAAAAAGTCCTTTATCTGCCACTCCCTTGGCTGCCTATGTAGGAAATTGTTGCCTGGGAATCCGGAAGCTCCTTGGATATATAAATATGGCTGCACATACAGATATTGTAGACACAGATAGCGAGGTACACTGACTGGAACAATAAACCATCTTACATTTCCCTTTGCCCAGCCATGATGTGTCCTGGACCTAACTTGCTTTTTTTTTTTTTTTCTCCTGTCCTTCTCCATCAGAGGGGGAGGGCCCTAGTTCTTGGATTGGGGAACATGAATAAAGAAAAGGGTTTCTGAGCTTCCTCTTGAGAGCCCAGAGTGTGAAGGAGAGAATGGGTCCTTCTTCCCTGGTGGCCTCCTGGGCTTCTTCCTGCTTGTGTTTTCTAGTACAGCAGGTACTTCGCAGGGACAGAGGCATGCTTGGTTTCAGCATGGGGGGATACAGAAAGAGGCAGTGAGCCTCGGAGGTGGTCAGCAGTGCTGGCGTTGTCATTTTGTCTTTGCCCTGAGTTTTCCAGGGCTGTTTCATCACCACCTGGACAAACGTGCTCATAGTATACGACCCTCAAAAACTGTGCCTGAAGAGAAAGTTGCCCTTCATTCAGCCCCATTTCTACGGGCTCCCCACTGGAGATACTATCCATTTGGAAGTCTAAGCCGTGAGGGGAGGGGACAGAAAACACTCTCTATCAGGATGGTGAAATTAGAGCGCATGATTTTTCTTAGGTGGATTATTCCAGCTTAGTCCCCATTGAGCTGAAGCTCTGCCCTTGATCTGAGTGCCCCCCCCCCCAGCTATCACCCAGGCTCTCGGCTTTTGCCCCTTTCCACTCCATTCCTCTCCCCATTAGGGTAGAAGCCAGCTTAGCGGCAGTACCCAAGGTGGGGCCAGACTTGTCTCTGTCAGGGTGGTAGAGTCCTCAGTGTAGAGGGGGGAGCCAGGCCACCCCCTCATTACCTCTTTCCTCCTTGTTGTATTAGATTTGTCACACTCTGACAGAAAAACTTGTTGCCATGACAATGGGTTCTGGGGCCAAGATGAAGACTTCAGCAAGTGTCAGTGACATCATTGTGGTGGCCAAGCGGATTAGCCCCAGGTGAGTGGTCAGTGGCTGTGAAGTCCCACACTCCACAGGGGAAGCTAAGGGAGCTAGCGAGGCTAAGCAATGCTGTAAAACAGTAGGCCTGCCTGTGGCCTCAGTTATCAGGATGCCGGTGTATACAGACAGCCTAGTTCGGGCATTCCTAAGCTGAGGAGGTCACCCGCCACCCCCATTACCAGCACAAGTCCTTTAACAGCTCCAGGATGACTGTGCTGCCAGCCTGCAGCTCCACAGTGACCCCTCCGGCTCTCACCAGGTCAGCCTCCCTTCCCTTGCTACACTGTGGCAGCCAGCAGGCGCATTTCCCACAGGCTCCTATGATACTATTTCCAGTGACTTCCCAGCCATGCCCTTAGGTCCAGCTTGTTAGCTGTCCTGGGAACTAGTTTGAGGATTCCCTTCCTTTCCTGGTGGCTCTCAGTTGCTGCTCAGTCCTCAGCCTAGCCCTGGGTGGGAGGTGAAGCCACAGAGCATTCAGACCTCCTGAATTCCAGGCTGTCTGCAAAATCCCTTGTGGGAGGCACCCAGCAGAGCTCCAGTCAACAACTACACCCCCTCAGCTGGACTGGATTTTGCAAAGAAAAATAAGGCCTTTTTTTTTTTTTTTTCTTTTGATCCAAAGGCAGCGCTAAATATGTGCTGCCACCTGGTGGCTGGTATGTGCATTTGCTGTCAAATGACCCACTCCAGGAAAGTGTTCTTATCAGTCACCTGACCCCTATGCCTTGAATGGCCTCCTCTGTGCATTCCTGCTGCCTGGGTTAAATCACAAGCAACCAG